ATTTTTTATATTTATTAACAAGATTTTTACCCATACGCCAATTCAACGGGGTCAAGTGAAGGAAAAACACTAGAAGAGGTCTCTGGAACATTGAGGAAATGTATGCAGTCTTCGTGTAGAGAAATTATTTTTTGATGTATATTGTATTTTTACAAAATGAAATCTAATTTGCAGTTAATAATAAGAAATTATTATCTATTTTATATTTAGCATGATGAAAATATACGAAACACATGAGTGTCAATCGAAGAACATCCATGCAACTTTTAACATAAATTGTATAACCCCATTTTTTAAACTGTTTTAGTAGCATAGAACCTGTCTTAAAAGCCAACTCATAAAAGTATCGATATTGGTATAATGCGAAAACGAATACATTACATGAAATTATAATTATTTTGTTCAAAATAATTAATTAATTGTTCAAATATTTACAAACAGGATATAAATACGTCTGGAAGTAAACAGCATAGCATCATTGGAGATAATTTCAAATTGCCTTAATATAACCTTACATTACAGTGTAATAACCAAATAATTTTACTCTTACAGGGTTTCCACTATATACAATCATTGTTGATTTATTCATTAGTATCCTTGCAAAAGTATTGTTTCATGTCCAAATAACCTAGATTTTTCGGTCTATTGATTCATTGCTAACAATAGTATGGATATTTTCAAAGTATTCCATGATGCGTTAGGTCATTCTATGGCTAAATGTTTAAAGCCTACTAAAATATTAAGGGGTAATAATAAATATACATATAAAAAAAAAAAAAAAAAAAAAAAAGTGCAATTGTAAAAAGTAAAAATCTACGTTATTTGAACATTTTCATGCTTATTTTCTCTTATATTTTGCAATTCACTATATATTTAATAAACTTCAAATAAAGCATGTTATATATTTAAAATTATATTGTATACTCATAAAATGCGGGGACGGGAGGGAGCATCAGAGTATCATTGAAGTTGTAACTGGACAATGGAGTGGAGTGCCAGCCGGAGTCTAGGAGGAAATGTTCTGTCATTTTAGATAGTTGCATTTTACTCCAACAGTTGCAATGAATTTGACGCGCTCTTCTCAAACAAACCATCCCGTGGAAAACTTATCATGTATTGCGAATTTCGTGGTTCGTTTGGTTGGATCATATTGCTGGAAGGAGATTCTTTTATTCCCGCGAGTGTCGCGTAAGTGTATCTGCTTACGGGCCCGCCCAATCCTTTTTGGCCCTTCATACAGCAATATGTTGAATTCAGAATGATTACGAAATTTGATCTTGCTGTTAAGTGGAGCCGCATGCAGGGCAAGACCCAAGCTAGGATGGTGGCTTCTTACATACATACATACATCAAAGTGGATGCACTACAATCATAGAGGTAACTCTACGACTAGAAGGTCCCGAAATAACGTGCAATCATGTCGAAAATTTCATGTAATTTTTATGACCACATAAATAAACAAATGCAGTAAAAGCAGTGTAATGTCAGTTCATGCATTGTATTAATGATAATTTTGTCCTTGTTGCAAAGAAACGATATGGAGAACGATATTTCGACAGTGAGTATGCATTTGGGCGCAACGCGATGATCGGTTCTCTTCGTCGATTTTCTCTTTTGTTAATAGAGATTGCATTAAGTATGATTGTGTTAGTGATTTGTTTCCATCAGGAAAATTTTCCGCTATGAAGTTTTTTTTTCCGATGAAAACATGTTGCGTATACGTATACGTGACTTAGTGTGCGTACGATAAACGTCAGCAATCTCTATAACTCGCTAGATTTAACGTTTCTCGGTGCGTTTGTGCCGGCGCCGGTGGTGTAGTGGTAATCGTGACTGCTTTCTAACACCCCAATGGGCTGGGATTGAAGCCGAGGTCGGTGGGATTTTTCTGAGGCATAAAAATCTCTAGTCACGTTTTCCTTCGGAAGGGAAGTAAAGCCGTTGGTCCCGGCCCATGTGTGTTGAATGGCTGCGATTTCCTACGCAGGTGTGGAAGCTGCCTTCATGCACATTCGATTGCCGTCAATGGATGGCAATCGATGTCCGTCGGTAATGGGCACTAGATTGCGGAACAGAGACCGACGTTAAATAAAGGAATGAACAACTCAAGACCACAATTGAAATGGCCTTAACTCCATTTTGTAAACAAACCTTGTATGGCCATTTTCTCGCGAACCGAAACCTTCATTCGCAAACCTAAACCACAATCGGGTAGAGGAGAATTTCCCCTACCTGTTCATTATGTTGGTTTGCCTTTGCGGACTTCGGTTCGCGAGAAAATGGCCTTACAAGGTTTGTTTACAAAATGGAGTTAAGGCCATTTCAATTGTTGGTCTTGAACTGTGCATTGAACAAATTCTAGAAAATTGTTTCGCTTAGCTGTAGCTATGCAAAGGGAAAATCGGTGAAGAGAATCGAGTATCGCGTATACGCCCTTATGCAAGCGCCAATTTCTCATATGTGAAAAAAATATGGAGTAATTTTAGGCGTGCATAATAACAGAAAACAGACGTCCAACTTCTAATGTTATCTTATCTAACACCAACACAGCCACTTTTTGAAAGCATTCTGGAAAATGATTTATATATTCCTGATTGCATCTGAAACTGGACTGTCCCAAAAATGCAAAAGTGTGATAAAAGTGCACGTTTCCGTCAAATCGTTTTGATGTCTTCGGAGCACTTATTGCTTGCATCATAAGGAATACGTGCACCGAAGACACCAAGACGATTAGACGTAAACTTGCAGTTTAATCACACTTTTTAATTAGTGAAAACGCGCTTATTAGTCCAATTTGGTGTGAAACGCGCAAAACCTACATCATTTTTCTTGTCTATTTGATATATCAAAACGGCCAGGCCTACTGTGCAGCATTTAAGGGGCAAGATGATTTAGAAAACATCGGGCCTGTTTAAATCGAATTTAAACACGATGTTTCAGAATCCAATAAATGGATGAAACGTGGACATCTCGACCGTACGTTCCGATTTTGGTAATTATATGATTGGTTGGTCGTTGGAAGCATCAAAGCTAGAAAGGTTATGTGATGCTCCACTTTCTTCTGACGGTTGGGGCATGAGCACTAACTCTCGTCCTAGCCTTTTATGACTTATCTATAGCACCATTACTCGCTTTCTGAAAAGAGAAGAAGGAAAGAAAAAGGAGAAGGACAAAGGGAAAAGGATTATGTGAAATCAATGAACATAAACAATATTTTTGATTTGAAATATACAATATAGAAATGCATAACGGCGCGATGGTCACTACCCGAGTCTTGTATCTATTATCAAGTCATTAAAAGTAACAAGGACTAAAATGTGATCCTTTGATTACTGGAAAATCCTTATTCCCTAGTTTGAAGTTGTCACGACTAGGGTTCGGTGGTAGATCTTATACCAGTAACGCACCACAAAAGGGTGATCTCCCAACGTTACTGGTTTGAAAAGATAAAAATTTACAAAATGGAACGAACTCACCAAGTTTAGCCAATTGAACCTGAAGGCTGCTTGACATGTGTTGATGTAGAAGTCCAAATTGTTGACGAAGCTAGACGAAGATCATGAACTAGTCCTTTTTATGGTAGCTACTCAGCGTGCTTCGGAATACCTCTGGAAACTGTTTGCTTGAGTTGATTGGTGAACTGATAGGAACGATGGTGAACGACGTTAACCAAACTGCTTATCGGCACAGACCACAAATGGAACCGATCCATAGTCTCGATTCCAAGAACGTTGAGTTCAGCACTACTCGAGATAAAAATGCGACCAGCCTTGGTAACATTTCCGATGGTGATCTCAGTCTAGAACTCGGCGAAAAGGTTGAGGTTGCCACCAGAAACTGTGAATGCAGATTCTTCCGTCGGTTGAGTGGGTGATTGTCCGATACTGACCCATGTCTCTTCTGAGATGATGGTGATGTCGGACGCTGAGTCGTGTTGAAGTTTTACTGCTGTACCATTCGAAGGCGCCGGTTTGTTGCTGGAATAGTACCCTTCCTTGTGTCTTTTTTACTTGCATCTGGAACAGGTATGCGAAGCGAACGGACATTCACGAACATAGTGCAGCTGTTGAGATTTCGGAAAAATTTCACAGATTTCGGTAAAATAACCTTAGTGTGTTGACTTGTGTTCGTCCATTGATGAAGCCGTTAAGTTGTGAGCCGATTAATAATGGATTGTGTGCCTCTGAGGAGACCTGCTCCAAAACCTGCATGGTTACAACACTTGAAGCGTGTGAGGTCGAAGGCTCTTCGCAAATACAGCCAGTCCCGTAATCCATTCACCAAGCGATTATTTTCGTTAGCAAGTAATCGAATGTACAACCGATTTCTATACAATAAGTACTCAAGACGTACGCAGACCAATCACCGGCGTAATCCTAAGCTATTCTGGTCGTTTGTGAAGACAAAAAGGAAAGAGGATGGGCTACCGGTTGAGATTCATCTAAGCGATAAAAGAGCCAACACCTTTTTAGACAAATGTAATCTCCTGGCAGAGCATTTCAAGAGTGTCACCGCAGAAAAGTCCATGATGACGTCATGCTCGTTTGGCTACACTAACTGACAGCTCCGCTTATCTATGGAATCTATAGTTTCTATAATATCTATAATTAACATTTGAAGTAAGCAAAGTAATAAAAATTGTATAAATATGAAAACGCAAAAAAATGAATAAACAGCTAAACACAGAGATGAAAAAATGATACGGAAAATAATCATAATAAAAAGAAGAATGAAGCCTAGTGAAAAGTGAGAAGTAGAGATTAAACAAGATAAGAAAAATAAATGTATGAAACATATTATGCACCCAAATAATAGAAGTGAAAGAAACAGTATGATTTAAAAACAAAACTTTAAGGAATAATGAATATAGTAATGACAGCTAATGACCCGCCACCATGGCGTGCGGGGTAATGGCAGAGTCCTCTCGAGACAAGCTTTAAAGAAATGATTACAACCTCGAAGCAATTATAAAAAACCAATATTTATTTGAACAGAAAAAAAGCAAAAGACACGCAACATCATGCTAACACTAATTCTTCCGCTTCGCAAACATCTCCATGCGGGTTTTCCGCTCCTGTTCGAGCTGCTTTGCATACTCCCAGCACTCTCGGTCCATCGAGTTTTTGCCCCGGGAAAGCCCCAACAAGCGGGACAACACTAACAACGAATGCAAATCCTCGGCCGAAGCATCGCTCTCCTTGCGCATCTCGATGAAGTCGTTCTGGATAACCTCCGGATCGAAGTTCTTCATGTCAAACTGTTGGATTCGCTGCTGGGTTAGAAACTTCCGCATTTCGGTGAGCTTCGGTTTAATAAAATGTTTCCCGGCCTTTAGGGTTTCTTCAATCATTTTGATTGCGTCCACATCCGGCACCAGCGGGAAATGGAAGTTGGTCTGTGAAAGTTGTGGAGCCACATTTTAGTTTTCTGGATAAGAGCAGCGTTATTACATAAAACTTACCGGAAGCATACTTTTACCCTCGCTCAATACTAATACTGGAACATCAGAATCGAATTCGAGCTGATAGAACTGGAAGTTGTACTTAAGTTTCTGAGTTTTAATCAGGTGAGCAATGCTCTGAACTGCTTCAACTCCGCTGCTCTCCAGCTTACCGGTCTGAAGTTTGGTTTCGTCCAGAAGCAAATGAGTATGGGGTGCTAGTTGCAGTAGTCCGCTAGTCAGTTTGTTCGTGGTGTAATCTTTCCTAGAAACAAATGGCAGGTTTATTAGGTATTTTTCAATCCAACATCGACATCAAATTAACCTACTTTGGCACGAATTGCATCGTGTTCATATTTTCCAACGTCATCGGGAAGTAATGGCTAGCAGGGAGCAACAATTCCATGATTTCGTATAATCCCTTCGTATAATCCGGAAGCACTTCAGCTGGAATGTTGCTCAAGTTGAGGCTGAAATGTCCCAGCGATTCGATCTCATTCCGTATGTAGACCGTCGATATCAGATGACATAACAGATAATCAGCAGCCACTTTATCCTCGAACAAACACTGAGTTAACAGATTCTGGATATCCTTCCAAATGTCCGTATTGAAGTACTGAGATTCGTGAGGAGCTTCCAACAGAGGGTTGACATGCTTTAGCTTCTGAAAACTGATGGCATGTATCCGAGGAATAAGGGAAGGGGGAGGATTAGTGGCCTGGTGTTCGGACATTCCATCATCGGAATCATCCATCTGGTCGGTGCTTCCGTCTAGAGCCGGATCAACCGAAAGGAATCCCACAACATCCACCAGAGTATTCAGGGTACAATCGTCATAATTATAATATAGCTTCACCAAACATGCTTTGCTTGGCCTTTCAGAAATCGGAGAATTTAGCAAATATTCAGCAGATAGAACATTCTGCTTGCTTTCGCTTGAAGAAGCACTCCTTGACGAACTGGCTTGTTGGGCTTTTGAGCATGGTTCAACCGGAAGCATTGGTTTCTTGAATGGATTATCCTTGTCTACAGTTTGATCCGTCTCCATTTCTTCATCGTCCCCATGAGGCCTTTTAACAGAAGATAACTCATCGGACTTGTCTTCAACTTTCGGTTGATACACAAGATTCATCTTTTGCTCACATTCCACAGCCCAGCTGTTGTAGCCCGGAATGGAAATAACAAACATCGATCTTCGCTCACCGTACTGATTAGTCTCGGCTTGGAAATCCACAACTTCTTCGTTCTTGTTCATGACCAAGACATCATGATATTTTCCACCCTGAACCCGAAGAAGCGAGCCGTCGTCCTTCCGCCGTACTTCATACCGTTCCAGGTAGCACTCAGGATCCTGCATGTCCTGAATCATACCTCGGAAACGAACCAAAGCATTGTCGCGGAGATCATGCAACTGAGTACAATTCAGCAGTGGAATTTGAGCCCGCACTTCCGGTTTGCTCAGCTGCTCTGAGCAAGACTTTTCGTTCGCTGCAAAGTACTCCGGTGTCCAGGTGGAGAAATCCATTTTTGTTCACACTTTCAAGAACAGCAAGTACTATAACTTTTTGAAAACTGCAGAAATAACAGCTGCTGCTTAATACGACCACGGATGGAAGCTTGAAGTCTCAATGTTGTGATGTTGCGATTAATTATTATGCTGCCGATGTGAATCCGAGTCCGAAGTAGCGCGCGTTTTCCGATGTCAACACAAAACAAAAGTAATAGCATAAAATAACTGTTATACGCAGTTTTACTTATACGCAGAGCCGCTGTCAGGGATATAGATAGCGTTCAGAATCACAAAGGCTTAACTGTGATGATCGATTCTCGTAATCGATTTTATCTTTGAAACAAAATCCATTAGAAAAAAAAACTATACACGGTAATTGCAAAATACCCAATAATGACTACAAAGTAAGTATTTTCGAGGGAGACTGGGACTACCCATTCAATGAGTAAATATATTACCTATTTATGAGTATTTGCTACTCAAAAATGAATACTTACTACTTGTTTTTGTAGTTGTAATTACTCATAAATGGGTAAACTTTTACTCATTTAATGGGTAGTCCCAGTTTCCCTCGAAAATGCTTACTTTGTAGTCATTATTGGGTATTTTGCGGTTACCGTGTATTGCTGGTTTAAATCTGAGTACTGTGAACTCGATGTGCGGTATTGATCAGTTCACGAAGATTTGCCGCACTCTTCTCTCACCCGTAAGTTTTGACAGTTTTGGGTGGTTTGTTTTGGCTCCCATTCGTTGCTATCTCTTTTACTCAGAAGCAAAATGATAGGGAGCAAAAAGTGAGGTTAGGGACCGTGCACTGATCTATAAAAGGTGAGGAGAAAGGAAACTAGTGGACTCTTTCGTACTCGCGTCTTCTTATGCAGCAACAGACGTGACGTCACGTCTGCTGTTGCATAAGAACACCGTCAGAATGAAAGAGTTCACTAGTTTCCTTCAAGGTTGCAAAGACTCATTTCAGCTAAAACAATGTTTTTCTAAATTATGAAATACTTAGATGCCATGATCAAATTTTGAATTGGTAGGATACAAGAAGAGGTTGCAAAGAATGTGTTTGCCATACTAAACCTGTTTATTTCATTTCATGAGAGTTACAATCAGCGATTTTTCACAAACTCACTCACTCACTCACTCACTCACTCAGCGATCAGCAAATCGCTGATTGTGACTCATAGAAAGCAAAATTTACAGGTTTTATGTTTCCAACGCATACTTTGTAACCTCTTCTTGTAAGTTACAAGTAAAACATGCCACCATACCATCTTTTGGTTTTATTATTCCGAAAAACATTATTTTAGATGAAATGAGTCTTTGCAACCTTGGTTTCCTTTCTCCTCACCTCTTTTACCGCACATCGCTGTGAACTAACTCAAAATGCTTGTCATCTGGGAGCCGAGTCAAACCGTCAATCGCGAGCGAAACATTCAAAAGAGCTCAAAAGTCATGTGGGTAGTTACTGTTTGAACCACAAAAGTAAAGGTATTGCCACCTACTGAAAACAAATGAAGAATAGAAAAAAAAAGAAAATTAACTGTCGAAACATCAACCTTAGTAGGCAGATAATGTAAATCATTGAACGTGATGCTCGAATAAGTGTTTTATTTGATATTAATAATAATGTCAAAACTGCCAAGAATTTAATCAAACTTTATAAGAGTCATGTGAGCTTTGTGGGCAGGTGCACTCGCAACACCAATTATACGTTATTTGAGGAGCAGAGAAGGAGGAGCCAAGAGTTCATTTGACAGCTTGAAATTCTAGTACTACACTATGTTTGTTTTGATTCGCTATGAAAGTTTGACAGATAAAATGAGGGGTTCGTGGATTTTCCTACACGAAACGAAAATCAATTATTTTATCCATGTGTTTAACGGCGCCGGTGGTGTAGTGGTGTAATGTTTTCCCTGAAATTCCAATATAGTTCAAGCATAACTATTCAAATCGACGTATCTGATTTTGTAAACAATCACTTCAATCGACGATTTGTGGCAACTGCAAGCTCACTCACAGAAACTAACAACACTAGCTAGTAGGGGAAATATTCCCCTGCCTGACAAATGTCTACGGTCCATACAAATTCCCAAAAAAAAAATGAATGGACGATTGTCTATGAGGGGGGAGGGGGTTTCTAAAACCTCTAAAAATCGGTCTACGTTGTTTATGAACAGCCCCTTCGAGGTTCAATTGGGATTTTTTTTTTCGTAGCTGCTAGTTGACCGAGGATCCAACGTTTATGCAAGGGGGATAACTCAATTTTTGATATACATTATGTGGCATTACGTGGGCCCTGATGTGCACACTTAATCTAGCTCGGTAAAATCTCCAACAGCCGATTACCTCGGCATTTACTTTTGCTGATATCTCTGAAAAATATCTGTTTGTTAGCTGATATCTCAGCAAAATGTTATTTGTTAGCTGAGTCTCGGCAATTGTTTTACTGAATCTCAGCAAAATAAATTGCAGAACTACTCGGCTGTTGGAATCTCGGCGAAAAATTTTAAGAGTGTGGATCTCTGAAGCTTAGAACAATTTTTTTAAATAAATAATAAGGGCGTCTATGTGATGTTTTGCTGTACCTGTTGTGGACATCTAGTGCATCCTGTTCCCTTAACTTGTTGAGGACACCCTGTCTTGCCTCAAAAGTTACCCTTTTTGAAGTACTAGTCTTCACAACATAAAGGGCACCAGTACGGAGCATGAGATTTGATCAAATTATTCGCAGTTCTACTTGTCCAACGCCCCCGGCTGGGTGAGGGATAGAGGATGACACACACACACACACAACCTACGCCGAGATGCTTTTCACTTTCATTCATTTGGTAGGTACAATTAGGTTTCTCACTGTATTCCATTTCATAATCACAATCTACATTCTCGTTCGGCTCTCGCAATGTTGGAACAGCTGTTGAACCAACAATCAATACGAAACTAACGATTTTAAATTGGCTCACCACTTTAGTAGCCTATTGGTCCCAAGCAAACGATTAACGTACCCTATTCTAGTTGAAATTCTATTACTACACTATGTTTGTTTTGATTCGCTATGAAAGTTTGACAGATAACATCAGGGGTGTGTGGATTCATGCAGAACATGCAGGGGTGAGTGAAATAGCTTGGGACTGCTTGGGACCGTTGTTCTGGTACTGAGTGAGCCAAAAATAATAATGATTTTCTTCGGGACCCAGTGGTCTTAGAGTTACCTCTATGGTTGAACCATCCACATTTTTTTCCCAGTTGGGAAATGAACCTAGAATATCATTACGTGCACATTGAGGATTTTGTAATCTATGTTCAAACTTACGCTGCAAACTCTTGAACTTCCTTTAACTTCAAAAAACTCAACATCGTCTTCATTTTTTACGCAAAACCGAATCCAAGCTAAACGAATTGTTTTATCTTTCGGAAACCGGAAAAACTTTAAAGTTGGATTTGACATTGAGTTTCTACCACAGCGTATTGCCTTGCACTTCATCTTCAATCAGAGCACAATAAACACAATTTACAGTATCGATCACTTCAAAGCACGCAGTTCATTCCACTTCCGTTTCGCAAATAAAATCTTCAAATATCATCAATATCATTCAGGTCAATGTTGATTTCGGCATCACTGCCAGCCAGATTGCTGCGTTCCCTCTGTCTTCATTTTTCTACGATTGCTGCTGTCAAATCGTCCAATCAGTAACTGGCTCGGATTTGACAGAAAATTGGCTCGAAATCGCTACCCGATTGTCGGGTCCCGTCCCAGATCATTAGCACTTAATTATATCGATAAAAAAAATCAAACGATGAGCGAAAGTACATTCTTCTTCAAGCACGGCCTTCTTCTGATAAATGTTGTCTATTAAAGGTTTCTAACAGGTTTTACCGGTAGCACGAAAATGAAAATGATGTCAGCGACACAGTTGTAGGACATTGGTTTGCCTTTTCAGAAAAAATATAAACACTGAAAAATTTAAAAAAAAATGTTGAAAACTACAATTGGGGTTGACGGCGACTCTGTAGCTCTGTACTCCTATGAGAAAATCCATAAGCAAACGTCAGACTGTGCGTGAAACATGGCGGACTTTGTACTATCCTTTCACTCCACCGAAAATTCCCAAAAGAAACTGTCTATATTTGCTGGAAGAGCAAATTTTTCGACGGTGCCGTCAACGCCAATAACTACATTAAATTTGAAAAATCTAGATAGAGCTGGAATTAGGGCGTAACAGCTTTTGTAAACAATGACTTCTCTCGATGATTTCTAGAAAGCAAAGGCTCGCCCACTCAAATCAACGTCACCATCGGGTAGAGGAAGACTTCCCCTTCCCGTTGGTTATGTTGGTTGGCGTGAGCGTGCCTTGAGTTTCGAGAAATCATCGAGAGAAGTCATTGTTTACAAAAGCTGTTACGCCCTAATTCCAGCTCTATCAAGAAATGTACCTTTTTTACATTTTTCAAATTTAAAAACAAATGTTTATTAGGTAGCTTACCAAAAATGCTAACTTTTCTAATATTGCCCAACATCGTAGAAATTCAACTTTTAGTACAAATTTTGTTCAATTTTCCACAAATAATTTGTATTATTTTGCATGCGAAAAACAAATTTTTAGTTCAGAAATTCATTTCCAATGCACAAATCACATAAATATTGCGTGAAAATGAAAGATCACAAATTTTACATAAACTTGATTTGGGTTAATTTTGAAGTGTCTATTGTGTCCTATGAAATGAACAGTATAAAAATCTTTAAAATGTGCTTTTTTGCTAGTGAGTTTTAATGCACCCGATGTGGTGTGGTGAAATGACCTTACATGATCTTATTCATAATTCTGAGACTTTACCCATTAACGCCCAGTGATCCATTTAAATATCAGCATTTTTTTCTGTCAGGTTACTCCTGGAAAAATCGCGCATTGTCTGGAGGCCAAAAACGACTTGGGCGTTAACGGGTTAATGTGTAAAAATGCTAGTTGAAGAACTGAACTAGCAATGATGCCCGTCAAATTCATGGTTGTAGAAATGAAAAGCTTTAGAAACATTTCGTTAGGCCATTTTACTCCACTGGCGTTTTGGACTGACTAGCCCCTACAATTACAGAACGCTTATTACACTAATTTTGTTAGGTGTCAGGACAAAGAAGGTGTCAGATCGTTTGACCCATTACCGTTTGACCAATTTGCTGTTCTGAAATTTGGAAGATAA